CAAAGCAGCGATCATGCATTACTTTGTTCGGTAAAACTACCGAAGCGGAAAACGAAAACATAATATTGTCATAAAATTAAAAATTTGCCAATTCCGAGACCGGAAAAGCGCTGTCCAATGATCTTGCGTTTCCGCTTGACTGCGTCTCGGCCCAGCGAGCCTGGAGCTCGCGCTCCGGAAGGTATTCCCTCCCCGACCGCCGAGACGGTCACATCGGCTCCCCGATATTGTTTATTTTTTTATTCTCATTGCACTTGATTGAGTGTGGGGTTTCGTTCGGTGGTCTCGCTTGTAGTTGTTGAAGTCGCTTGCACTCGCATGTGCACCCTCGTTCAATTCACATTCTCATCAGGATTCTAGTTTCGATTCCGACTTTAATTCTAATCGTGATTCCGGTTTTAATGTGGGTCTTGATTAGGATTGTGGTTTCGATCTCGAGTTTTATTATGATCGAGATACTGGTTCTGCCCTTACTTCTGGTTCGGATTTTAATTCTGATTCTGATCACGATTATGGTTTCGATTTCGAGTTTGACGTTGATGTTGACGTTGATGTTGATTTTAATTTTGATCTTGTTTTCAATTTCCATTTCGATTTTAATTTCGATCTCGATTTCGATTTTCGTTCTGAGGTTTCATAAATACATCTGCCTTTTCTGATGACAATAACTTTTCTGTTTCAGTTCGCGTGTAATCTTTTCATTGACTGTTTTAGTTCAATATGTGCAGCAATAATTTATGAAGATACAGAAGGAAGGAAGGAAGGAAGGGTGGCAGGCAGGGTGGCAGATAGGGTGGCAGATAGGGTGGCAGGCTGGGTGGCAGGCTGGGTGGCAGGCTGGGTGGCAGGCTGGGTGGCAGGCAGGAAGGATGGATGGAAGGAAGGAAGGGCGGCAGGCAGGGAGACGGGCAGGAAGGATGGAAGGAAGGAAGGGTGGTAGTCAGGAAGGCAGGCAGGAAGGATGAAAGGAAGGATGGAAGGATGGAAGGAAGAAAGGGTGGCAGGCAGGAAGGCAGGCAGGCGGGCAGGAAGGATGGAAGGAAGGAAGGAAGGAAAGAAGGGTGGCAGGCAGGAAGGAAGGCAGGAGGGCATAAGACAATTTCTTCGGTCGTACAGGCATGTAGGAAGTTATCAACGAGTGCATAGTGAGATAATTTTAAAAAGTGACACATTCCAGGCATGCGGAGTTCCGTGTCCTAGTACGAGTTGTGCCTCCCTTAAATTCCACTCTATAGCGAAGTTAATTTAACTTCATCCGTCTCTCGTATCGATCAATTAATTTTGCTCGCGTTTTAGTATACCCGCGCCGCGAATAGTAGTTTCCCAACCAGATTTTGCTTGGGTACCGGGGGGAGAAAAGAGTGTGATCCTGTATCTTGGATGGCCTGCCTCGTAAGTCGAGGAGCTGTTTCTGTTCCATTCCCATGCGCAGTGCGTAAGCTCCGTGAGACGGATTGGTCGTGGTCAGAGCACTCTCCGCAGAGGTATGGTCATCCTTGTGCAGG